GAGCTCGGGAATTTGATCAAATTTTGAGCGACCTGCCCTTTGTTTGTTCCAATATTTGGGAACATCTTCTTTTTGTTCTTTTGTTCTTTTCTTTATTCTAGATGGAGACTCAAACCGTAGGTCACCTCGATCCATGCGTCTCGAGGTCAGACCTGCTGAGACAACAAAACAAACGAACGAAATTTTCTGCCCCAGTTTCACTAGGAATATTTCGTGAGTTAATTGCCATGAAAATTTACAGAATTGATGAGGGGATTGGAAACCTCAAGTCTAAAAAGTGCAACTCAGGGATTGGAGCCCTAATGTCGCAAAAAGTAAAAATGCGCAACTCAGGGATTGGAGCCTAAATGTTGGCTAAAGGAAAGTTGCTCAACTCAGGGATTGGAGCCCTAATGCTGGCTTAAAGAAAAATTGCTCAACCCAGGGATTGGAGCCCTAATGTCAGCTAAAAACAAATTGCTCAAATCAGGGATTGGAGCCCTAATGCTGGCTAAAGAAAAATCGCTCAACTCAGGGATTGGAGCCCTAATGCTGGCTAAAGAAAAATCGCTCAACTCAGGGATTGGAGCCCAATGTCGGCTAAAGGAAAATTGCTCAACTCAGGGATTGGAGCCCTAATGCTGGCTAAAGGGAAAAACGCTCAACTCAAGGATTGGAGCCCTAATGCTGGCTAAAGGAAAAGTGTTCAACTCAGGGATTGGAGCCCTAATGCTGGTTTAAAGAAAAACGCTCAACTCAGGGATTGGAGCCCTAATGCCGGCTAAAGGAAAATAGCTCAACTCAGGGATTGGAGCCCTAATATCGGCTAAAAAGACAATGCTCAACTCAGGGACTGGAGCCCTAATGCTGGCTAAAAAGAAAATTGCTCAACTCAGAGATTGGAGCCCTAATGTCGGCTAAAAAGACAATGCTCAACTCAGGGAATGGAGCCCTAATGCTGGCTAAAAGGGAAAATCGCTCAACTCAGGGATTGGAGCCCTAATGTCGGCTAAAGGAAAAATGCTCAACTCAGGGATTGGAGCCCTAATGTCGGCTAAAG